TGGCACGATGGTGAAATCACGATGGCACGATGATGAAAGTCGATGGTACGATGATGAAAACGCGATGGTAAGATGGTGAAAACGCGATGGCACGATGGTGAAAACAAAATGGCACAATGGTGAAAACGCGATGGTACGATGGTGAAATCACAATGGCACAATGATGAAAGTCGATTGTACGATGGTGAAAACGCGATGGTAAGATGGTGAAAACGCGATGGCACGATGGTGAAAACGCGATGGCACAATGGTGAAAACGCGATGGTACGATGGTGAAAATACGATGGCACGATGATGAAAGTCGATAGTACGATGGTGAAAACGCGATGGTACGATGGTGAAAACGCGATGGCACAATGGTGATAATGCGATGGTACGATGGTGAAATTACGATGGCACGATGATGAAAGTCAATAGTACGATGGTGAAAACGCGATGGTACGATGGTGAAAGCGCGATGGCACAATGGTGAAAACACGATGACACGATGGTGAAAACGCGATGGTACGATGGTGAAAACGAGATATAACATCGCGTTTTCACCATCGTACTATCGCGACATCGCGATTTCACTCTCTCACTCTCGTACCATTTTGTTTTCACCATCGTACCATCCTTTGTTAAATTGCTAAATATTGTGCAATCAAAAAAATGTATTGAGCTTATTATAAACGGCACTTTAGGTCCAGGTAAATTATCAAAAATATGTCAAAATATGCAAAATTAGCCCTTAATGCGTTAGTCACGCAGTAGAAATTTGGTGATAAATATTGCCAAATCAGTCATTAACCAAATATAACATGTAAATCATTACTTGAATTGTGAACATTTTTACTTTTCTCAAACTTTCACTACATTTTTCTCTAAGTTGATTTTAATGATTATTTTTATCTCATATGGAGGAGGCATGCAGCTTTAACATGTTGAACTTCTACTAATATGTAATATTTCAGTTCCCATTTATGCAACTGTCCATTATCAAATTTTGGAATATCAAAGATAGTAAGTCAACAATATACAACCTGGGCAGACTGCACCGCACTATCAGTAGGTTATGCAATTTTACGAAAAATGCTGTCTCGGTTGAGCCACGTGATTGGGTTATCTATCGACTGTGATATGGCATTCAAAAATCAAATTTTAAGATAAAGTTTTGTAAAATCAATCAAAAAATTACTTAAAACTAACTCTGACTACATTATATTATCAGTTTTTACTTTAAATAGATTTGCAATGAAATTAGAAATTTTTCGTTCCCAGTGTCAAGGTAAAAATCTACTGCTCATATTTGAAAATAGGTCCGAGTTTCAAGATCTTTTTTACATTCGTGCATTGTTCAATGACAAAATAAAAATTGATTTTACAGAGAAAAGATGTTATTAAATCATATCATGTAAAAATATTATAATATTTCACGATGTTATTTGCAAATATTTGATGTTTAATTTGGTGCATTTTCAAAATTGTGCTGATTATCGGCAAATATTATGAACAAACAATCTATTTTTTTAAACAAAAATGGCTTTAAAAAACATAATTTCCTGAAAAAAAATATCCTTTTTTCTAAAGTTTAAAGATTTTTAAATAACATCATGTCGTTAAAAATTTTCATTTTTGCTCTTGTATTTAATATTGGCCCTTTTCTTGAACATTTACATGATTTGCATATACCGATTTATACCGAGACATGTTTAATTGTAGCGAGATGGGTTTACATAGTGTGCTTCCAGACCATTCTATTTGAAAGACCCTGATGCAGTATACAACTTTGTAGCTGAATATTGCAAATAGAATAATGCATTAACACACTGGCCATAGCTTTCGCAGAAGCGGTGGGTCTACCGCAGCGACGGTGGAGTATTCGTCGCAGAAGCGGTGGATAAAATATGGCCGTTTGTTGTTGTCGGTAAGTATATGACTGAATTTTGTTTTATGTTTTACTGGAAACACTCAGTGAGACTGGAGCCCACATATGTACTCTTTCAACCTATTACACGCACACGGTGCAATTCATTGCCGTTTATGCAAACACTTCTGTACAGTTTGATGAGGGGACGCCACTTTTGCCTAATTTTGGTTAAAACACATACAAATATGTGCAAAACGTCCCCATAACACATCGGCATCACATCGAATTAATGATACTTTCACAAATTAATCATAATTTAGAAATTGGGAAATTATTATTGCCTGTTTATAAAATAAATGACAAAAATGTTTTCGTCGCAGACGGCGGCGGATTCGATTGCAACGCAGTGCGGTGGGCCCGATACCATTTTTGTATATTTTAAGAATTTAACTTGACGTAAAGGACTTTCAATTGAGTACAGCCCTTTTCTTACTTTGACATCTGAGAAACGTGTTTATTTGATGTTTAAAACGATATTAATTATTATATATACGCTGGTACAAATATATGTCCGAGGCCCGCTTTCATTTTCTTTCCATTGAAAATTACTTCAGCCATAAATATCATGGAAAAATCCACGTTCAAACTTGGACTTAAAAAGACCGTAAGTTCATTTTTGTCATACAGACATACATGTATCAGAGATACTCGTAAAGATAAACAGAACAAGCTTCTTGAATACGAAAAATTTAATGTCACTGTGTTATATTACCATATATAGTGAGAACACCAATATAAATAAATTTTATGTTTACAGCGTAAGAGTTATTTCAGGAAAAGTTTTTCTCTATTACTTTTTAGTAAAGACCTACGCGTTTAATAGCTTTAGTTTATCTTCTTTTTCTTAAATTGTGACATTTATAAAAAAATGGTTTCAAATATGGTATATATGTTTAAAGAATTTTTAGTATGAAAAGAAATAAAAAAAAGTTAATAGAAGTATTTTATGGAATTAAGTCTTTCTCTAATAATGTACACAAATATAGTAAAGAACGTAATAAGCGGGAGAAAAAGTTTTTTCAGACTTACATTTAAGTTATATGACCTTGAAATAACCACAATTAAGGAAAAAATCAAATTCACGTACAGGAAATGAGATCGGTGAACTCTAAGTTTTTTTCCGCTCTAAATGTTTATGTTATCATATTCTGGCATCATGCTTAATTTAAGGAATATAATTTTATTGAACCTCCTTAATTTTGCGTGTATGTGTTTATATTACTGCACGTTTGTTGGACAATCGTGACGTTTATATACATGCAATGTACTTTTTAAATACATGGCTGCCGTCGATTTATGAAATTATCTCATTTTTTTCTAACAAAAAATGCTTGATGTATTATGAGTTCGTTATAAATAAATCCAACAGGTTATATGGTCTATATAAACGGTTGTTCGCAATATTAATAGCTATCGAAATTCTTTATTATACTTGTACATGTGTGTAAAAATCAGAAAATAAAGTTACAAATAAACCAAAAAGCTCTATAATTAAATAAACGTCTCGATTTTTCAATAAAAAAATACGTTACAAACATGCAGTATTATAAAGTTTTTATATTTATATACACGACTGCTGTTTATTTAATAAGAAATTGTATGTTTATGTACAACCGTTTATATACGGCCATATTGTATAGCCTTTCATATCTTTATAACTAATACAATACTCTCGAAAATGCCATGAATATGTGTTAACTTTAAGTTTTTATAACTCATATGCCGTAATGCAAAAATATATGCTTATATATATATATATAATTTTAATTAGTCAGAAATCGGCATTGGTTATAAGGTATAACACGTGATCACGTGTAACATGTAAATGTCTGACACGTGATATTTTGGCTGGATTCATCACATTTGTGGAATTTCCTGCACATCGCTAAATTTCCTTTCGGTGGTGCATCAAGGTCAAATATTATGACGCTTAGTTTTCGCCGTTTCCTCTACGGTCCAGGTTGTCAAATGCATGATCCCTAATATGAACTTGGTAATACAAATATGATAAAGGGCACTATATATGTTATTACTTTCCTGCGCTTTTCAACTGGAATGGTGCATTCACACTCAAAAATACTTGATACTTAATAATAACCCGCAATTAATAGTTGAACGTGGATTATTCTATGATAATTATGGCTGAAGTAATTTTCAATGGAAGGAAAATGAAAGCGGGCCTCGGACATATATTTCCAGCGTATATATAATAATTTCGTTTTAATTTCGTTTTAAACATCAAATAAACACGTTTCTCAGATGTCAAAGTAAGAAAAGGGCTGTACTCAATTGAAAAATGCTTTACGTCAAGTTAAATTCTTAAAATATACAAAAATGGTATCGGGCCCACCGCACTGCGTTGCAATCGAATCCACCGCCGTCTGCGACGAAAACATTTTTTGTCATTTATTTTATAAACAGGCAATAATAATTTCCCAATTTTCCAAATTATGGTTAATTTGTGAAAGTATCATTAATTCGATGTGATGCCGATGTATTATGGGGTCGTTTTGCACACATTTGTATGTGTTTTAACCAAAATTAGGCAAAAGTGGCGTCCCCTCATCAAACTGTACAGAAGTGTTTGCATAAACGGCAATGAATTGCACCGTGCCCGTGTAATAGGTTGAAAGGGTACATCGTCCTGAAAACAGATTATGACCAACCGTTTAAGGAACTATTCTTTCTCCCCTGGAATGAGTTTGTTTCGTTGTTGTTCTTATTGAGGTCGTGTTTACTTCTGTGTTTTGTCATTACTATAATTACACATTTTCATTTTTTTTTTCAATGGCATTAAGCTGAGATTATATATATATTTTTTTATTAATAATTTATTTCTATAAAAAATCCCAGTTATTTGTAGAATTCATAACGCAAAGTGACATGAACCAAGTGTGAAAAATATTCTTTAATCTTTGGCGATTTTAAATCAGACATGTCGGTTTCGCCATGCTCTTTAATGTATTGTTAAATCATTGTCCACTCAGATTGTCCATTGATTGAAATCGAATTACAATTTATGACAAGTTTCTACCTATTCGGTGTCCGTGGATACCTATCTGAAAAACATTGGCAATAAAAAGCCGTCCAAGGCCATGCTAGAATCAAACCACTTCCAGGCTTCGGTCCTTGCACTTCTATCTGGATTGTTACCTTCAGCAATAACTAATTAATCATGGAAGTAGATCTTGTCAACAGGGATCCCAACGGTCTTAATGACCATATTAAGGTTAGATATTTTGATATATTTAGATAATTTGTAATGTTTTAGATTATTTTGTAATAGCTGAAAATGTAAAAAAATACAAAGGTTCCGAATGAAAGCATAATCAAAGATCGGTTATTAAGTACATGCATTTTACAGATTGAAAATATTTGATATTTGGTTAAAGCAGCAATACATTAAAATGTATCTTAAAAAAAAACTTAAGAAGAAGAAAAAAAGTTTTGAAAATGAATAAATATTCACTATTCAGGTGAAATTTTAAATGTATTATGCAAAATATGTCAGAAATTACATTTTTTTAAAATAAAAATCTACTTTGGATAACTTTCTACATACATGTATTTCAACAAATTGTAACTAATTTCTGTGGATAATAAGTTGCGAAGGCTAATCTATACACTTGAAGACATTTGCCCAATAAATATGCTCATTTTTGGGGTAAAAAACTTTTATTGCACACATTTATTGAAATTTAGGAAATTTTTACAGATTTTTTCTAATTTGAATTAATGAACGCACAAACTATATTTGGTGAGCCATTATCTATTACTGGTCAAGTTAACTTAGTCTTTTTGTTAAAAATGCCAGCTATTTAATGACACTATGTAGTGATTCTGTGTTTACATATAGTGTGCAGAGTTTGAAAACATAACATATATTTTTTTCTGTGTTTGCTAAAAAGATGATTGCATTTTACATTTAAAAATAGACTTTGAATCAATTTTGCAAAAAATAAGTTAAAGTGATTTAGTAATTTGTTTAAGTCAGTCAAAATACCACTGTGTTTTATGTTTGGCTGCATTTATGTCGATCTATATTTCAAATTTTGATAAAATTGATCTATGTCATGTGCATTGGCGTGTCGCCTTTTGTTTATTTATGATGTAGTTTAACCAAAACTGTAAAAGAATGGAATATTTCTATGATGATATACACGTCATTTATGACACAATTTTATTAAAAAATTGCTTTCAAACATTCAGTTATTTTTCATAAATATCAAACATTTAAACCTTTTTTTCAATATTACCTTTTTACTTATTTCAGGTCCAGTTCGAAGATGTCTTGGCTGAACCCGAGGGAGCCCGTAGTATCGACTGCGTCTGGAAGCTGTCTTACACCTGTTTCAATCTTTGGCTCGGTGTTTGCTACAAACTTTTGACCCTCTTCTACGGAATCTGTATTGCCGCCGAGTGGGGTTGCGAATTCGCCTCCATTGCTTTCTACCATATTTGGTACATCACTCCGATACTGAGAGTTTGCGAGATCAATTGTGCTGTGTTCACCAAGGTTACCAAGACCTGCATGAGCTGTTGTTTGGAGCCATGTTGTGAAGCGTGCGGTTCCCTGTTTATCCATTTCAAGAAATAAACAGTTTAGAAATACAATTTATCGTCTGCTTCTCTACCATGAAAATTGTTTTGATAACCAAAAATAAAAGCAATGTTGAATGACTGACCAGTAAACTTGTGATGGATAAAATTGCGTTGCTAGACTTTCGTTTTTTCGCGGGAACATATCTAAACAATTGGATATCATTTTTTTAAACTGCATTTTTGTCATAAATATTAGTATTTAAAGTAATTTATTGCAAATAAACCAAATGTGATTTTATAGATATATGTAACAAGTAACCTTGTAACATATTTTGTTGAGTTTTAATAAAATAAATTTCAAAATATATCTGTGTCTTTTGTATTTTCTGTATTTAAGTTTAAGTTATAATGTAGATAACACCCTATCCTCATTTATAGACAATGAAAATAATAGACACGTGAACAAGGTACATTTTGAAAAGTCTTTCTGCAAAGTTCAGTATAGTGTCCATTTATTACCGTGATAATAACACTTTCCAATAGAAAATTTATTTTTCTAAACCTAATCTTGTGAAGAATATATTTGATATTTTCACTGCGGTAAAAATATCATGATATATACTTCATGATTTTTGTCTAGAACTACTTGTAATAAAGTCCTCATTGAGTGTATCAAATATTGTTAAGATTCAATTCCTTTTATCCTAGAGAGCGAATTATTTGCTCCTTATAAACATACCAACCGCTGTGAATGCCCTGCCCTCTAACACTTAACCCGGAACAGAAATTGATAAGCCACCGCCCACCAGTATAGAGCCAGGCCAGCCTGCCCATCCATGCAGTTTGACAAGGCTCTTTTATATTGTTGATAGCTCAACTTAATGCCCTGATATTGAATTTTATTAAACATTGAACGAACTGTTCCAAATACAAAGCAGAGCACAGTCCTGACAAAAAAACTTCCGGTTAGGATTAAATGTCAAATCATTCCTGGCATGCGTGGACGAGCAGTTCTCTACGTGCACTAAAATTGATGATTTAACGCATGTGCAACCCAAGCATTTACTAATTTATTCTAAATAAAGTACATGAGATAGTCAATTTACCGGTTTGGTATGAAGTTAGTAGTGTGACAGCCTGGTCATTATGTTATAGTGTAAAAAGTGATTTGCTTTCTGAGACTCACTGATTCATAATGGAAATAAATGATCGCACGGAAATCCTGTAAAACATTTACCTCAGTTACTATTCAAATGATAGAGAAATGATCCTTTTTCATCAAATAATGACACTAGACATATTAGATCAACACCCTCTAAGAAACCTGGAACATTATTTTTATTGGCGACGCCGGTGAGCGGCGTCGTCTATTATGGAATGCTTTTTATTTTTGCCTATGGAAGGAGCTGTTATTATTAGCAGTTAATTCTATGTTGTGTTAATTAGTTTTATTTTGATTCGTAAAAATCAAGTAAACAAATGTGTTGTTATATTTGTATTTAATAACTTTATGTAAAAAGCATGTGCATTGTGATATTATTTTCACGAAATTGCAGGTTAAGTTTAACAGCTTGTCCCTTAGTTTTAATGACAATACTAAAACCCGGATTTCGAATATCGTTGTGGTCTAGATTGAGGCCGTATCAGTTCATTCATTCATTTATACATTTTCAAAATTTTCCAACAAGAAGAAAGTTCACCTGCAATTGAGTATAAGGATAGGTAATGGAACTGTTGTAAACAGTTATCTACGGAGCCCCTAAGGTGACATTTTCGACACTTTTTCCCCGGCATTTAATTCGTTTTTACGAAATATTATTTCGTAATTACGAAATATTAATTCGTTTTTACGAAATATTATTTCGTAATTACGAAATATTAATTCGTAATTACGAAATAATAATTCGTTTTTACGAAATATTATTTCGTAATAACGAAATATTAATTCGTAAAAACGAAATGTTATTTCGTAATTACGAAATAATAATTCGTTTTTACGAAATATTAATTCGTTTTTACGAAATATTAATTCGTGATTACGAAATATTAAGTCGTTTTTACGAAATATTAATTCGTAAAAACGAAATGTTATTTCGTAATTACGAAATAATAATTCGTTTTTACGAAATATGTACTCTTTTTCCCCATTGTGAAATACATGTTCCCATCAGCAATGTTTTAATTTTTGAGGTTATCAATCTTTTCTGACATGTTTCTTTAAAAAGAAACATGCTATATTATTACTTTCTTTTATCATATACATTAGTTAAACTAAAAGGGGGGCTCCAGATTTTCACTCATCTAATCAATTTAAAAAAGTATATTTCTTTACAAGTTATGTGATCATAAAAAAGCATAATATTTGATTTCAAAACTCATCGACAGAACGATGGATTTGAAGCACAGGACCCCCATTTTAACAAAATTTTCCTAGCGCTGTACAACCACGGCTGTGGCGGCAACGCTATTGACAGCCGATTATTTTAATTTAAGTGTACATAAGTGTTAAGTTGTAAAACTTGGAGAGAGAAAAAAGCACTATTTATATTTCTTTAACATGCCTTCTATTTAGTCAGGAACTTAGTGTTAAGTCCTTCTTTATAAATATTACCAAAACTCTTTTACACCCTAGAAAAAAAAATCGTTTTTACGAATTATTATTTCGTATTTACGAATTATTATTTCGTAATTACGAAATAATATTTCGTTTTTACGAATTAATATTTCGTAATTACGAAATAATATTTCGTAAAAACGAATTAATAATTCGTAAAAACGAATTGATATTTCGTTTTTACGAAATAATATTTCGTAATTACGAATTAATATTTCGTAAAAACGAATTAATATTTCGTAAAAACGAATTAATATTTCGTAATTACGAATTATCATTTCGTAAAAACGAATTAAGTTCCGGGGAAAAAAGTGTGGAAAATGTCACCTTAGGGGCTCCGTAGTTATCCTATTGATTTTATCCTTATTACATTTATTTGTTGCGCAGAATGGTTGTTTTAACAAAGTGTACCAGTATCCGGATGTTTAAAGCTATCCGATTTTCTGCAATTACTGCTGACACATGGCCATCTTTTTTTTTATGAATACTTTACCATTAATTTGCATGGCTTGATAAAACTGAACCTGCAGCATTTCATAATTTTGCTGTTTAGGGTGTTCTTTTGGGTTTCAGGTTTTCTTTATTGTAAGGGCAAGTAACTTATGTTTACTAAATTATTTGTTCTTTTCTGTCTATCTTAGGTATTACTTATAATACTATTTTTGTTGTATATAATTCACCAGTTGTAAGGTCATCAAAAGCATGTTAATGTTAGGATTTCATATTTATTTAATATAAACTGGGAATTATTAATGTTATGTGCATACATGTATATCTTAGACAGTAGTATATTGATATGTTGAGACTTATAATTTTTCTGCATTTAAAGAGATACAGTTATGTCATTATTATTAAAGGGATGAGACTTTCATTTAAAGTTATAAATGATAAAACATGTATTGATTGAAAATGTCCTTAAACTTGGATCAAGCAATATAATTAATAAAGTCTCAAAAAAATCATATTCTGAATAGTTATTCTATTTTTTTTCTAACATGTGCATAGTTTGAAAAGGACAGCTTCTGTCTTATCTATTTGTAATGAAGGGACACCGGTCTCAACCTCCAGGTCTCCTGAGTCAACCCGACAACAAGCTGTACATAGAGTAGATTGTTACTTGCCCTTGAATAAATGTGTGCACTAAATTTATAGTGGGTGATTTGTGCCACATGAAAACCAACATAGTACAAAAAGTAACTGGGGCGCCAGATGAAAACATGAAAATACAATCTACCACACAAAGTGGTTTGTTTGTTGCATTTTCATGTTTTTGCCCGGTGCCCTTGATGCAAAATACAAATCAGCCTTCATAAAATTCTTATGTTGGTCACAGGTTTGAGTTCTGGTCAAGCTCAACGTTTTTCTCATCCTGTGACTGCATATAAGCATGAGTTCAATTTCCTATGCTCTGTAACATAAGAAATTCACGAACACAAATCGATATAGTGGGGAAATATGTTGTGGTTTAGAACTGTTTCATTATTAAAGAGAAAATGTGTAGCAGGCCGGATAGCTCAGTTGGTCTTCTGAAAGTCATGGGTTCGAGTCATGGTCAGGCAGTTTCAGTCAGGGTTTGGAAGTGGTTTTTCAATTGACACATGTTTGATTCATTTAACAGATTGCATTATTTGAAATGGACAAAGGCAGTATTGTATGATACTTTTAGATCTACAAAGGGCATTTGATACAGTTGAACACACTATACTGCACATGAAGAAGTTGTTTTTCTTCTTCTTCATGAAACTTCAAGCATCTGCCATATATAATGACATTCTTACATGGTTTAAGTCTTATCTCTGATAGTAGCTGGTTGATGTGGCTGGTACTCATTCTACTACTGCTCTGAATACCTATGCTGTCCCCCTGATGTTCATTTTAGGTCCTCTTTTATGTCTAATATATGTCAATTACATGTCTTCAACCCTAAGCAGTAAGCTTTTATTATAATGCACAGGCACGAGTATCGGACCTGGGAAGAAAAAATATGACCAGATGACCAGATTGATAAAAAAAACTGTGTTTATAAAAACAAAAACAAAAAAAAATGTAAATAATGATCCCCTTTAGAAATATACTATCAACTTGAAGTATATTTTTAAAGGGGGTCATTATTTACATTTTATTTTGGTTGTTGACACTTTTAAGATGGACACAGGTTTTTTTATCAATCTGGCCATATTTTTTCTTCCAAGGTCTGATACTCGTGCCTGTGCATTATAATAAAGGAATCCTTGTGTCTCATAAAATAAATCTGAAGAAATTCTTTCTTATAGCATGAGTCTTATAAGATTGCTTAATTGACTATAAATTGTCTTTGCATCTTGGCAAGACGGAGTCTATTCTTTTTTGGTTTAAGTTTCAACTTAAACTGGCCCTAGCCTCCAGGTCACATGTAATGGTACTGCTATAAAGTACACATCTTTTGTTAAGTATTTAGGTGCAAATCTGGATCAAATTCTTTTGGCGTCGCCCTTTGATGCTTTGCATCAATGATTTTCTTGTTCGTATTATAGCTTTATCCACCATTGAGGCTTTAAACTATCTTTTCTTTTCTCATAACAGAAAAAATGTTAATGTGAAAGGTGCATCGAAAAAGCTTTTTTGTTGACACGCATTTAGAGGACAACACAAGATTCACTTCGATCAAATTTTCCTATGTATGTAAATAATCTGTTATGTCACTCACTCTTGAGTTCATAGACGTATGGTCATTCGTTATATTTTCATGCAATGTGCTATGGTATTAAATTGAT